ATTAAAGTTTTTATAAAGAAAAGCTTGCTTTTAAATTACATATGAAGAATAAAGACTTAGACATATAATTTGTGACCTAAACCTACAAAAGTGATTAAGACTCACCTAGATTTGGGTGTTATTAATAATATAAGAGATAGAGGTATGATATTTAATCCATTGGATAGTTCAAAGATCAAGTTTGGTAATAATTTGAGGTACTGAGATGAGGAGTAGACTAGAAGGAGAACTATAAGTTAAGTTTGTAGTAAATATAGTTTGAGACTGTGCAGAACATAAAATGCAATATGGAATCCATATTTGTTTGTATATTTGTTGGTTTAAATGAAGAAGAAATTTAATAAAAAGAGAGGTAGCTGTATAGTAGAAAATAGAAGTATTATGAATAGTAGAAATAAGGTCAATAGGAACTAAACCAGATAGAGTAGAAATAAGGGATGGTATGTGTGAAGAGTTATGCAATTTAAAGCTATTAAGTGTAAGAATTTCTTGATATAGATTAGAAACAAGATTGGTGGATATGTTAAGAACAGTAGCATTTAAAATGCAATTAAGAGAATTAGAGATTAAGTAATAAATTGTTTGGATAGAAGAACAAAGAGTCCAGTGTAATAAAGAGCTGATTTGATTGCATTGGTGACAGAAAGAAGAGTAAAAGGGATTATGTTTGTAAAAAGTGTAAGGAACAGGTAATTCATCCAAGAGAATTTTAACATGAAAAGTTTTTAGAATAGAGGAATAGAAGCTATAGACAATATTAGAAACTTTTTGATTGTTATTAATGTAAAGCCAAGTGGCTTCCCAGTTGATGTTGGAAGCAATAGTGAACCATTGTTGGAAATAATATTGAGATGTTCAAAGTGTTATAATATGAGCTTGACAGATAGTATGAATAAAGCATCAAATGGGAATTTTAATAGAAAATTGGTCAATAAATAGAGCATAGGCAGGATTGCAAGGGTTGTTAGCTATAAATGTTAAAAAGAGTAGTATTTAGTGACTATAAGCAAGTTGGTCAGCAAGGTTATTAAATGAGTCATCTTGGTATGCAATAACTTTGTAAAAAATAAGCTAAATGTTGTATAAGTTAATGAAGTTGATAAGAGTTTGCCAGATAGAGAAGTATGAAGTATAAGTATGAGAAAGTTTGGATGCTAATAAGCAGATATTATGATATTTAGAAATGACAGATTGTGAATCTGTAAAGATATGAACAGAACAGTTTCTAGAAGCAGTTATAATTGCTGAAAGAATGACAGAAATTTCAGCTTTAAAGGAGCATGGCCAGAGTTTGACTTGTGTTTGAAATGAGTAAATAGTTGCAGAATTATCAACTTGAACCCAACCTATAACCATAGAGCATTGAGAGGTACTAAGCTTAATAACAGAACCATCAGTATAAAATGAAATAGTGGTTAGGTTATGATTGAAATTAGCAATAGACTATAAGCTATCAGTAAGTTGGTTAGACTGAAAAATATAAGGTAATTGTTGTAAGTTGATTATTAGTGAAGGAGAAGGTAGAATATGTAAAGGATGTTGAATAGCAACAAAGTATGCAATATTAAGAAAGTTGGCATGTAGTTTAAGAATCTTGTCAGTATTAATATAACAAAGTAGTTTTGTAGTCAGGTTTGTAGAAATAAAGATAATGTATTTGTTAGTGATTGTATTAGAATTAAGGTTATATTCAGAACATAATATAGTAGTAAAAGAAGGAGTGGAATATAGGTTTGAAAACTGAAGCTAATATGAATAGTGCCAGTGAGTAATAAGTGTAAGGCCTGTAGGAGTATTATGCCTTCTGGTCTTGCCAATAATTATTTGGTCATTAAGAACAGTAAGTAGCCAAGGTTTGATGTTAGAGATAAAGTAACCAGTAGTATAAGAAAAATAGTTTGTTTGAGATAGATTAAAGTGATTATATAGAGTACATTGGTAAGAATGACTTGTTGTAATGTTCTCAAGAGTGGTGAGCCATTGAGATACAACACCTTTGGAAAGCTTGTTTAATCTAGGGTAAATATGTTTTCAGTATAATAAGCATGAATTATCATATATAGTGAGTTAGTCAAGAAAGAGTAATTTGTGATATCTAAGTTGTTTTTTGAAAATGAAGTATTTGGGATGAGAGAAAAGAAGAGATTCAAGAGAGATAACTTCATTATTTAAAATAAATGAAATGTTATAAGTTGAATTAGTAGAAAATGTCTAGCCAACATGCTTGATAAGCTGAATAAGTAGTTAGATGGTTGGAACCATTAATAATAGGATTGGAATGTGAATAGATATTAGTAGGAGACTAAAGGTTGTTTTGTTATTGTTGAATTCAGATACGAGTTAATGTGCCTAGTAGGTTAGGATTATTAAGTTATTTGAGAAGCTTAGGAATATGGTGTTGCAGTTAGATGTCTCAAATGTGTTTGATGTTGTAAATTTTGGAATATAAAAGGGTACTAGAAGGTATTGTATAGCAAAGTTTAGCTTTAAGTTTAACAAGGCTGATATACTAAGTAAAGATTTTATTGCAGGTAGACTGACTAACTACAATATTTTGAAGATGATATTTGAGGGTAGAAATGATAACTGTGTTAATAATATAATAGGCATGTGGGTTAGTAATATGTTCGGTTTTAGCAATTTGAATGAGTTGAGAGGATTCAGCAATAAGCAGTTTTGTTTGTTTAGATTGCCTATTGTCCAAAATGAACTAGCAATCTAAGAATTTAAAGAGTTGTTTAGAAGAATGTAGTGGAAGAAGATGATTATTATAGGGAATAGGAATGTAGTGAAATGAAGGGTTATTAGTAACTAGGATAGATTTTGTAGAATTAATTTGAATGTTAGCTATAGCATAAAATGATTTAGCTATAGATAATATGTTAAAAAGCTCATTTTGTGATAAAGTAACCCAAAGAGTATCATTCATATATGCCAAGACAGAGCATTGTTTTTGTAATAAGTTAAATGTTTGGAGTTTGAGATTGGTAGCCCAAGAGGATTGTAAGATATAACCAGATACTTGTACATGTATATATAAGATAAGTAGATTATAATATATGTGCTATAATAAAGGAGTAATGGTATCATCTTGGTCAATGCTATTGTGAACAGGGTATAAGGAAGTAAGGCTAAGATTAGTAATAACTTGATTGTGATTATTAGTTAAAAGGTCAGAGAGGATATTAATAATGGATGAGAGAAGTGTCAGATGAAAAAGTGAATGTTTAAAAAAAGTAAAGTTGACAGAGTCATATGCTTTACTTATGTTTTATGAAAGTAGCCAAATGTCTTTATGATTGCAAGTAGCATCTTTAATAAGATTATTAAGAATGTGAATAGGAATTGAAGTGCTATTATTAGAAAATGCAACATAATTAAAAGGTAAAAGAATAGGATTAGAAGAAAATATAGTACTTAGTCTGTTTGTAAAAATTTTGGTATATAGTTTGAGAATATGTTCAACAAGACTAATAAGTCAAGTAAGATTGAGATCATCATCAAAGAAGTTATATTTGGGAATAGAATAAATTCTGCTATGTTTTTATTGCTTAGGAATTCTATTTTTAAAAAGGCAATGGTTAAAGAGATTAGTGATGACAGAAATGCATTCAGGGCTAATGTGTTTGAGCATTTCATAACTAATGCCTGTAGAACCACAGGCTTTGTTATTAGGAAGTTGTAAGAAAGTTTGAGAAAGTTCTACATTTGTAATGAGGAAGTTCGGAAATTAATACCAGGTTAGGTTGATGTGAAAGAGTAGAAGATAATGTTATTGCCAAAAATTATCAAAAAGAGTTTCATTAATGGATCTAAATGCAGTCCAGTTATGAAAATATAATTGAACATGTTGTTTGATAAGTAATAGATCAGTTATAAATTCATTAGACAATTTTATATTAGAGAAATGAACAGGTTGATAGTAGTGATTGAAAATGCTATTGATAGCTTGTGTAGGATGTGTTTTAAGAGTAACACATCTTTTGTCAGTAGCTTATTAATTTGTTGTCAAAGTAGAAGAGAGTTTCAAGATGACAAGTATGAAAAAGTTGTTTCCAAATAGAAAAGCATGTTGAAGCCATAGTTGAGTACAGGATGGGTTGGTGGAGTTAAGTGGTTGAAGGTCAAATTGTGACTGTTTATTAATTTGGGAGAGATTTTGATTAATATTGGAGATGTCAGAATATTGGATGAGTTTTTTAACAAGTTTAATAGTATGACTAAGTTTTTTAAAAGATAAATGTAATAGGGTACTGTGAGGTGAGTATTGATGATTGTAGCTATGTTTATAAGAAACTTTATTAGGAATGGTATGAGTAGCAGTGTAAATAATAAAGCATTGAATTTTGAGCTAAGTTGTTTCAATACTTTCATCAGTTTTACTATTGATAGTGTTGGGTTCGGAAGATTGCAACTTGGTCGCTTCAAAATTCTAAACCTTGCGTAACATATGACAAGTAACTTTTTCGAAAGAGGGTGTTAGATTTGGCTTATGGGCAAGAAAGGCTTTCGGTTACTTCAGATCAACGAATACAAGTATGATAAGTCACATGTACAAGAACTCAGTCGAACAATGAAGTTTATTGGGGTTTACAGGATTTATAACGGTAATTAGTGTTATAGTTTTATTATGGATGATTACAATGTATTGGGACTTGTTCATTACTAAAGCAAACAAGACATATTATCCCTTAGCGCCATTTCAGCCTTTATATATAATATAAAATTTATCACTTACAAATGCGATTTATTTATTAAAACTAATTAAACTAATTACAGCGATTTATTTAATATCTGTTATTTCTTTCCTTTATTCCTTATCTACCTGAAATACCTTTTCCAATCTTAAATGTAACTTATTACATTTATTACATTTATTGCACTTATTGCATTTATTGCATTTCATGCATTTTTCACATGATCAGTCACGATATAAGGTATCACAGTATCATGATTTCTGGTATTACATTTCCCTCCTGCTTAGATCATGCATCGCACACATGATCTTCCATAATGATCGTGGGTTGTCGAAAGGGTGGGTACTGGAGTAACATCAATAAAGAATGAAATTATGATGTCATCTATGATCGTGTTTAACATAATATATAAAACTAATAGATTTTTTTTTGAATAAAAAATATATTATCCTATAACTAAAAAAAAAAAATTAATTGCAAGTATATGACATGACACTCAATTTGAAATAACTCAAGACAAATATCTACGTCCAATATGAAAAGTCTAACCCTTGCTATATGCCCCATCTTATATGTACAACTGTCATATTCAACAAAGACAAGGGGTCAGTTATAGCGTCTTCCTCCAGGGTTATATATTCGATTACATGGGTCAATTGCTGTTAAGTATTGAAGAATTCCATTTTTATCACTATTTATTTGCTTAATTCGATTCTTCTCAGTAGGTTGGCTTTCATTCTGCTTCACTAACTGTACCTTCTTTTTTTCAGTAGGCCAAAATTTCCACTCAAGACCTTCTGTGACGTATATGTTTTGGAGCCCTTTTCTTGTTCTGCACCTGTTTCATAGACCATTCTACAACTTGATTGGAAGTAGCATCACACAACAAGACTTGAGGCAGCACAAATTTGATTTTGCTCTGTTCATTCTTTTTTTTTCCTGAAATTTCTCCAATAGGGTTAAATTGTCCAATTGTATTATCACATGCCACATGTTTCATACCTCTTTCACATGCTTCATCCTCGTACTGATTGCCAGGCTCGACTAGGTAGGGATTTTTTTTCATTTTTGTATTATCTTGGATCAACCTTCTAAACTTATTCACCCTTCTGTTCCAATTTTCACAGGCTTCGTCCAGATTATCTAACATGGATTGTCGACCATACTCAGCTAATTTCAAGCACCATTCCAAGGTTGGTTGTTCATCTTCTTCAACACTAATTCCTTTTTTATGACAATAGCCAACAGGAAATACTTCATGATTTTTATTTGAATTGGCAGATTTTTTATAATATTCAAATGCCTTACATTTACCCTTTTGAACTCCAATCCCTTTATGTCCATCCTTTTCAATTGCAATTCCATTTTCACAATGATAGCTGACATTAAAGATTTCTTCAACAAGTTTCATGTCAGAGGCTTTCTGAAGATATTCGAATGTCTTTCATTCATTTTTTTCCACCCTAATTCCATTATTTTTATCTTTTTCAACACAAGTTTTATTTCGATAATGGTACTCACAGTTGACAGATTCTAGTTCTTCAAGCTTGAGTGTCTCCAAGTATCTATTAATCAAGCTTTCTAGGAGGACTTCAGCCTTAAGGTTACTATCCTTTGCTTCTAGAGCCAAATAGAGGTTGATTACTTCTTCAATCGGATCCTTGAACAAAGGTAGTATTATGGAAACTTTCCAACTTGGGACTGCTGAGGGCATGAGCGACAGTTTTTCTTTTTTCACCGGTAATGCCAATTGGATATATGAATGCAGATATATAACATCTTCACCTTTATTATCGTAATCCAGGTTATTTTCTAAGCTAACATCCTTTAACATTAAAAAAAACATTCCAGGTCCTATGGGTTATAAAAACTTCAGTTTTTTATGGGTTTATCCATCATTCTTAGAACTTTCGCTGTTTGATCTTTGGTAAGTGTGTCTATCAACTCCAGACATTTCAGCTGCAACTTTTTTACTTTTGGATAGCTACTAACATTATGTCTTTCTTTTTTACAATAGGTGCATATGACTTCTCTTCGATAGCATCTTTGGATCAGTTCATTTCTTGGGGCTTGCTGTTGCCTAGGTACTTTCATTTGGGTTCCATTTTGCTGATAATTCCAATTGGCAGTGGTTGGTTCATAGATTTCATGCATTTTTTTGGAATTCCCAAGAGCTCTTGATCATAGGTAAGTACTGATCTCCTCTTGAGTCTTTCCTCAAACCTACCCTATTACTAACTCTTGTATTTACTATCTCTATAATCAGAACCACAGCTGGGCCTTCCTCTTGGACCTTAAACCAGAATTCAATCATCTCAACTGTCCATGATATGTTAAGAAAGTTGGAAACAACAACAGTAGTCCTTAGTATGTTGAAAATCAACTGGACACTTATGCCAGATGCCTCAACCTGGAATTACACTATGTCGAATTGGGGTTGGCACTCTTCTTTCTGGGTAAGTTTTTTTTTTCTCTAACTTTGGCTTTCCACACTTTATCAGTACTAACCAAGATTATACTAATTCTTCTCTTTTACTACGACTGGGATTACAGTACATGAATAAAGCTGAAGTCTTTTCCATTTCTCTTGGGTTTTGGGTCTTCTAATTTTGCAGCCCAGCTGCTTGAATGATTCATTGCCAGTGAAGTTATACGATCTCACAGTCACCACCAAAATGTTGAGTTCGGAAGATTGTGACTTGGTCACTCTAAAATTCTAAACCTTATGTAATATACAACAAGTAATCTTTTTGAAAGAGGGTGTTAGATTTGGCTTGTGGGTGAGAAAGGCTTTCGGTTACTTCAGATCAATGAATACAAGTATAATAAGTCATGTGTACAAGAACTCAGTTGAACAATGATGTTTATTGGAGTTTACAGAATTTATAATAGTAATTAGTGTTAGAGTTTTATTATGGACTATTACAATGTATTAGGACTTGTTCATTACTAAAACAAACAAGACATATGGTTCCTTAGGGCTATTTCACCTTTATTTATAATATAAAATTCATTGCTTACAAATGTGACTTATCCATTAAAACTAATTAAACTAATTACAGTGATTTATTTAATATCTGTTATTTCCTCTCTTTATTCCTTATCTACCTGAAATACCTTTTCTAATCTTAAATGTAACTTATTACATTTATTACATTTATTGCACTTATTGCATTTATTGCATTTTGTGCATTTTTCATGTAATCAGTCACAATATAAGGTATCACAGTATTATAATTTCTGGTATCACAATAGGAGTTTTGTGCAGTAAAAGTTGTTGTAATAAGGTGTTTGCAAAGGATTCCCAATCCTCTGCAGACATAAGCTTGTAGTTAAAGATGCAGTGACTAATATTGATATGTTTATATAAAGGTTTGCTGTATGCATATAAGAATGTTTATATAGATGTAAGAATTAGATGGTTACTGAAAGTTAAGGTTTGGCTGTTATCAAGACTGTAAGAGAGAAGAAATTGTATATTAAATTGGTCAGTCCAAATATCGTCAATACAACTACTGCTAGTATTATTAGACCAGGTAGAGTTTTGTTATTAAAGTGGGCTTTAATGTCATACATATTGGTGTTGTTAAGAAAGTTAATAAGTTTGTATTTAGATGAACTGTTCATGTTATCTTGTGTATTAAAATTACCAAGAATAATAAGGTAAAATATAAAGTTGAGAAGCTTATTGGATCCAGTTAATAACAGTATTTTGAGTTTGATTTTGAGTAAGCATATCAGTTAATGACAGGTATACTAAGATGATACAAAGTTTGATATTACTTCAAAAGAAAATATCAAGTACTAAAGCATCTCCAAGATGGGTATGAATACTGTAAATGTGAGGTTTAAGATTATTAAAGATCATGATAGCAGTGTCTTCAATAGAAATAGGAGAATTAGACCAATAGTAGGTAAAAAAGTTATTAATGCTTGCAATAAATATGTTATGGTTGAGACAATAATCTTGGCATGCTTCTCTTTTGGTAGGTTCATTGAAGCCTTTAACATTGTGTATAGTAATAGTTAAATTGAGATAATGTAGAGTTGAGTTGAATAAAGGTGAGAAAGAATTACAATTAAGGGTTGAAAAATGATTATTAAAAAATAAATCAGATGAAATAGAAGTAGGATTAAAGGAGTTAGATTAGAGAAAAAGATTGTAGAATATAGAAAGAAGGTATGGAGCAATAACAATATAATCTGGTAAGAGAGTGTCATTAGAAAATATATATAGGTTTCATTATAAGATAAATTGACAGAAAATGTAATGCTAGATACAGTTTTGTTATTGTTATATTTATCAATATGTTTAATTAGAGTTTGAATAGTTTGCTTATAAAGAGAAGTGATAAATGATAATAGAGAAGAAATTTGGTAAAGCATATGTAAAGATCATAGCAACTTAAAGATGTTGTAAATGATCTTTCAAAATTGTCTTCTATAGGGTTGGTTACTGTATGCTCAGCTCTCACAGCTGTGCAAAGTATCATAGTCTGCCCTATATGTTGGTTCTAACCATCATTATTCTAGCCTTCCATAAAAATAGACTTGTCATCTGTCTACTTGTTTCATTCTTCTTATTAACTACAATAGTTGTATCTTTTAATAAGATAGTGGCTGCTTCAATGTTGGTTGTAGAAGACAAAGAGCTTAAAAAAAAGACTGTAAAAAAAGAGAGTCAAGAATAGAGACTGGTTGAAAATTGAGGTTGAATTTTTTTGATAAAAATTTTTCAGCTACTAAATAAGCAGTATTATTAAAATATTTAACAATTTGTAGGTAAGTTGGTTTTTGGTTTTTAATAGCATCAAAGTATATAATAATTTGGGCAAAGAATTTGGTATCAATAATGTTTTTTGTTGAAAGATTGATAGCCTCTTTCTTGGACAGAGACTGTATATTATAATTTTTAGCAGTAGTTTGGTAGTAAAAAGAGAGATAGCAATAGAAGTAATAATTATGATGTTTAAGATTAGTTTTAATTTTGTTTTATACCAATACACTCCTTAACCAAATCAGAATATACTGGATTAAAGAATGGCTTTCTAAAATATAAAAACCATTTCTAACTCAGAATACAATTTTAACCAACCATAAAAAAACTACCAACTACACTATAATATCCCAACTCCATCACCTATACAAAAACAATATCTCTATTAACAACACCTACCTAAATCAACTAACAAACTACAAACATACTAATCAAATG